CTGCACCACCCCTGGGAGCCATTACTCTCCAAGCCGACGGACCAAGACATGAACCGTGGCAGGCATTAGTGTCCGTTGAGAGCATGTGCCAATACAACAAGGCCATTCTCTGGCTCCCCAGTAAGGAAGAGTTTGTCATACAACACGACTTTAACACGGACCTGGAGTGCGTGGGGGTGCTGAGGCAGGAGTTTGACGAGATCCAGAAGAGCGAACCAACCTCGCTAGAGTGCCCGACTGTAAAGGTCACCCACCTGATCGACAATGTGCCGTGCGTGCTGAGCGTGCCGTAGGCCGTGCCAGCCTCGGCTATGGGTTCGTCATTCGCGGGACACGGTAGATGGCCCAGCCTGACCGGGCAAATGACATGTCGCAGGCGGCTTTGAAAGGTCCGGTTGCCCTAAAGCATGTGCACTGAACGCCTCTTGGGCTGGGACAGCGGCCAATCTAGATGAAACTACTGCTGTTCGTATCTCAGCACGCACCATTCGTCCCCTCAGCGACAATGGCCGCTCTGACAGGCGATCCAACGCTTCCCTTGGCGAAAGCTTAGTTCTGCCCCTGTCGGCGTGCCGCCACTCATATACACTCGGCCAAGCGTCCAGACAATGCCGGTGCCCGTCCGACGTGGCTGTTCAGCTGTGAAGCGTGTCAACATATGGACTATAACATATAACAAGGACTTATGATGTGTCCATGTTATGTTGGACATCGAAATATCTTTGGGCCTCCGGCTCTACTGGGAGACCTGTAATCGCTGCAACACAGTGACAATAGTGCAATGGAAAGCTTCTATTCTGGCGCCATTCCTTTACTCCGCGCATTTTAAACCACTTGAACGTTGTAACATACAGCAATGGCTAGTAAAGTTTAACAATAATATGGGACGGACTTTTAGGTTTTTCAATGTACACGCATTTCAGATCCTTGTCCTTATATGTAGACTGCGTCGACATCATGCCACATGCGCGCGACACCCAGGTCCTGATCTCTGGGAGGCCTGACAACATTGGTTTTCTTGTCAGCTCAAGGAAAAAAATCGCGTAATCTCTCTCCAGGTGATTTGGTAAAACAGCATGCAAATTAAGACACAGAGAACAAGGCTGATAGCTCCAGGATCTCAACAATGCTTTCAGTGATTTCCAGCCGTCAGCATTCAGTTCGTGGGTGTCATGGACTGGCATGGGTGTGCTCCCACCGCGGAACCTGGGTGCAATGTTCGTCCAGCATATCCCATTCTCGGCACACACCGACGATGCCGCGCGGCGATGCACCGACGTGCTCGATGATCTCAGTGACAACAGGTGCAGCCTGCTAAGTCCACTTTGGCCACCAGAAAAGTACTCAGGAGATCACTAATGTACGTGATATCCGCCACCACTATTGTACACGGAGCGTGCAGTAGCAGGCAACTGGTACAACTACAAAAGGTTAGATGTCGCAGCCAAGCTTATTTCCGAACAAAAGAATTTCGGCCATGTAATTTATGTTCTTGAATGCTTGCAGCCACAAATATGCACCATGTCCACGGCCTCACCTTCGTTCACAAGATGTTGGCGATAGGAGAGCCGTTATTCGCGACATAATTGCCACACACGCCGTTCACCATCGAGCCACTAGGTAATCGCATTGCCTTGCAACTCCCCCCGATACGGCCCGGGCCTGGGGAGCGAAGGTTTACGTGTTCGAGCGTGACTGTAGTCAGTGACTTGCCTTCAGGCATCTGTGCATTGGGCCCAACAAGCTGTAAAACCGAGGTGCAAAACCACATGGTGAGGCGTCAGTGAGGCCATGTCCAGACGTCCGAATATTCCATACCCGTTGTTATGTATGGCGAAATACATTATTTACGCTGTTTGTGGGCATGGACCTATTGATCTATTATTTTATCTTTGCTTGACTCGAGGCTCAGAAAAGCCGTGCTGAACGGAGCTGTTTTACAGAGTGTATAAAAAGATATTGGATTAAAGAAATAAGCAAATGCATGCATAGAATGTTCCCGCATTCCAAGACGAGTGTTATTTGGTACTTTAACGCAAAACGCATTAGACATAGCTTCAGCTAGGCCATAAATAATAGCTCATGTGAGAAAAAAATGTGGAGGTTCACTGAGTCATTTCCTCAAGACGGTTTACAAATGATGCATGAACGGCGGTCTCTGTCGGACCTCTAGCCTCTGGGTGATCCCTGGTCTGCTGGGAGAAATAGTTCTTTTGTGAATATCTGATACATATTTTAGGCGAATTAGTTTTCTGAAATTTGCAGCATCATCCTAAGGTTACGGTTTGGACAGCAAAAGCTGCCCCGTGGGCTCCGTTTACTCTCAGAGAGCAGCGTGGCCTTCGTCCCGACAGCCTCCTGCCTCGCAACCTTTCTGGAAAGTGCCGTTTGCTGCCAGGGAGCAACGTGGGCTTCGTCCCAACAGCCTCCACCCCTCGCAACCTTTCTGGAAAGCGTCCTTTGCTGCCAGAGAGCAACGAGGCCTTCGTCCCAACAGCCTCCTCCCATGAGTAACCTTTCTGGGAGATATGCCGTCCTCAGCGAATGTTTCGCTGAGACACCGGTGTTAACGGCACTAAGAGTACAGCCAGCCGGATGTCAATAACGAGGTGTGCGGATACTGCGATGCTGCGGTTCTGGTCACAATGCATCACGTAAGATCACCATGGGTATGCATATTTCGAAATGACTGGGAGGGAGGGGGGGGGGGGTAGACTCGTGGAAGTTGAAAAAACGGGACAGGTGCAAAAACTTCGCCTTAGGAAAAATCCCAAACACATTCAAACATGCCCATATTTATTTCCAACCATTTGCCAACCAATTACTCAAAAAACAACCCTCACCCGCTTTATTTCAAGCGTGGGCCGAGCAAAACGCCCGTCACTTCAGTGGCATGAGAGACACAAGTTGATTATAACAGGTTTGCGAGTTGACCTGGCCCTTCGGGGACAATGCAGTTGTACTTCAGCACGTTCACCACACATTCGGAGTTCCATACACCCGCCCGCATACAGCCGGCCTAACCACCTCTGGATGCATACAGCCGGCCCAACTACCTCTGGATGACACTGGAAATGGCCTAACTCTCGAATTATTAAATCACTTTGGCAGAAAAATGCGTTTCAGATGCAGTACCTGTGCAGCGCTTGCTACGCCTACAAAAGTAAAGCAATGGAGCACATTTGGAGACTGTTGGTTGCATTGTCCGAGGAATGAGGATCTTTGGCATCAGATACGATGATGTAAAGCCATAACTACAATCCCTGTGCATTGCTTTGCGATCACATGGAATTTGACGTTCAAGACAGGGCATCGTAAAATAGCATCCATAAGATGGTACTGATGACTCGTTCTTCGCCAACAGACTATGACACTAACTGTAATGACTAACTAATGTAACCACAAATTAGGCTGATCGAACAAATAAAACTATCATTCGTTTTGACTGAGGTATGTAGATCACATATATATATATATATATATATATATGTATATATATATCAATATATTGATATATATATATATTATAATAATATATATATCCTTTCTCCTAGTCACTTGAGGTCTGTATTATATACGCGTAATAATTTTTTGCAACTGCACTGCAAACCACTTGCGTTGTAAAACAGCACCCAGGTCACCGCACCTCCTTCTACCTGCCGTATTGAGTCGATCATGACAACGAACCTGCCCGGGGGAAACGCTTCTGATGCGCTGACATATCAGATCACGTCGTGGAATCTCAGCGCTTCCAGCAGCTGCAAGAATGATTGATATTGATAGTCAAATTCTCGTATAGTCGATGCTAATCACATCAGCACTAATTGCCCAGCATTCACGGCTCGAAAATGACGTATTTGAATGCTCAGGAGTGACGTCTCAGTGAATATGACCCCCACGAGCCCGTACTGGCTGTAGATGTTCAGGGCATGCGATGTCAACTGCGTCATAAAATTCTCGCACACCAGCTTCTTTTTGAACACAGGACACTGGGAATGAGCGAAATTTGCCTGAAGTTGCGTGGCGTGGCCACATCTAAAATCAGCCCCATATGTGATATCTGCCACTTTCATGGCAGTGGGCAAAATTAATGTTGATAATACGCAGTAACGCTGGCGTAAGAACTAGTGAGGCTGGAGATAAGCAGCAATCAAACCTGATGCCCAACTCATCTTTTAATCCAATATGAGTCCAGAAGTTGCATCTGATATGGAAAGAGTGAAGCCATGCCTCGAAGCGGATGCAGTCCAGACACGGAACTGGGCATAGGATAGACCAAGAACACCTCAGCAAAAAAGAACCCTTCGGAAAATCCTACGCCATTTTATGCTGCACCCGTTTAACAGTGGGCAACTGCGCCCTAAAGTAATTCAGCCAATATAATTATGTGGTCCCTCTGTATATTCTGCAGTGGCCTGTGAGTTGCCTTGTGACACGGCCACTGCTGGTCGCCATCTCTTAAGTGTAAAGGTTCCGAATTAACTCATTTTAACCTTTGAATGGTGACCTTGAGGACTGCTGGACACGTCAAGTTTTATCGATATAATCAATGCTTGCTTGACAACTTGCTTAACTAGAATCTTTCTGGTATTAGTAGAGGTGAATTATGGACTAAGAGGTCCCAATTCAAAACGCGCAAACTACGCCCTGCTCCACGGCGCGGTTTTCATGCAAGACGGCTGTCACCATCCGGTTTTTTAGCGTAATATAACTTCTCTCCGACTATTCATAACATATCTCCTTTTTAGTCAAAGGTAGGCGGGTTGGGTGCTATTATGGAAGACCAACACCGTCAGTAGGGACCGGCTACCAAAACATTCAAATGCGGTTTAGGGAGGAGAGTTTTTTCGAAGTTTCATTTCATAGCTGTGTTTCAATACGGGCGTTTTGCGACGTACATTCATTGCCGCAAGTAACCCAGCGGCGAGCGTGCAGGGCGCCTTCTATATGAACCATCTTGCCGCAGTATTTGTGCCTGACCTACTCGTTTGTACGTCTATTGACACTGTGAAATCATACCCGAGGAGGCAGGCCAATGCCCTTTTCTTGCTTGTGTCCGAGTCCAGTCACGTATCTGAAAGGCACGTAAGAGAAAATGCAAATACGATGAAAGCTAAAACATACCGCGCGTCAAACAGAAAGAAAAGCGTACAGTTCAGTCAGCAACCACTCTCAGAGCAACACAGGCGAAGGTGGGCGCAGTTCATGGACAAGCACTTTTTATTCGTCGCCCCATCCTGAACAAACCGCTAACACAGACCATACT